CATCAACTCCCAACTGTCTGGCTACTGACTCTCCAGAGACCCTTTTTTCAGCATTCAGCTGCTCTTAAAGCTCTCCTCATCTGGGGCTGACCAATCAGAGGGGGGGAGGTGTTAAACATAGAGAACAGCCTGTCACTCAAGCTGTGTTTCACAGTGAGGCATTAACCCTTAATCGCCCAACTCTCTGAATTTGATGCACTAAGCATCCTGTTTTGGGAGGTCAGTTTGTCACAACAGCTTCAGCACCCTTTTCCAGATCAGTTTCTAGTGTGTTGAACCAAAACGTTTGCAGATTTTAGCACATGGGAGAACTGGACATTGCCATACAGGCTTGGGCTACTGAAAACAGCAGGGAGGACAGGAGGGAAACCCAAGACAGCAAAGATGGTTGCACCATCTCTCCAAGGGCTGAAAGGCCAGGTATAAATCTTGTCAGTAAACAAAATGCCTCATAAGACACTTGGAAAAACTGGTTCTCAGACTTCAGGATTAAACTACCCATGTCACGAAAACCTTAGTTCTCGTAAACAGCGGGTGACCTAAACCTGTTTCTACACTGTACCACTTCAGGACTGCCAGGGAAGGGAGGTCACAGAGTTGCCCCTTTGGCCTTATCTACTCTAAATATATAAAGGGCTAGAAACGTGCTTTCCTACAAAACTTGCAATGCTCAGGATGCTGATTACACACATGGATGCTGCTCTTTTGTTCTTTTATTTAAGCCGCATATGGGATTTGGGAGGATGCTTTACGAGCAGCTGCTGTTACCATGGTGAAAAGTCACAGCCGACTTATGGTCACCCCGTACAGTTTCCAAGGTACGAGATGAACTGAGGTGGTTTGCCATCACTTACCTCCGCACTGCAACCATGGACTTCCTTGCCGGTCTCCCGTCCAAGTTCTAGCCACGGCCGACCATGCTTAGCTTCCAGGATCTGATAAAACTGAGCTAGCCTGGGACACCCAGGGCAGGGCAGGGCCGTTACATTAGTACCTGAAAACTGGGCTGTTTCCCTGCCCTCCAATCAAAAAGGCTCTGACGGGTTCTACATCTGCCAAGAGCCATCACAGTGCCGCCGCCACCAGGCAGTCACTCCACCCCAGCATCATATGAAAACTGACTGCATGGTTTGGCCAGCTCCACAGTTCCCCAAGGTAACCAGGGCACCTGGAAGCTTGTCCCCCTTCCCACCAACCCTGAAAGGTTCCTGAAAAACAGAAACACAGGAGGCATGGTTTGCTTCGTCACTGCCATCTCCAATAACAGGAAACGCTGAACCAGGTGACATCCCACCTGTTGAGCAGGTGCCTTATAAAATGAGGGGAGGGTCGATCAGGGAACACACAGTGGCCAATTCTGATTAAGAATCCTTGCAGCACTTTCCAGTCGGTGTCTTTAATCCAGCGTTTTCTGTAGGTGCCCTGGTAATGAAATATTAAGTACTAGGGAAAAGGCTCGTTGTGGAAATAAAGACAAAAGGTATGGCATTTCACCTGTCTTCGTAGTAAAGAAGAGCCAATTGCCTTTTGAAGCTGACGATGGGAAATAATGGTGGGTCCTGAATTGTGTGTTGTCTTCTCCAGCACAAGCCTTGCATTTTTCAAGAGGGTTGGAGGCCTTGGTTCTGAGGGTGCAGAATCTCCCTTATAAATAAAAGCCGAATGGTGGTGGCACTTCTCTAGAACATTCCACACGCTCCAAAATCAGTTCGCTCTCTGATCTGTCATTCAGAGGGTCTCCCTA